AATGCGGACATGCGCTCTTCTCTCAGTTCTTCCAATGTATGTGCTTTGACACGTACATGTAAACTGGTAGATGCAGTTGAAGCTACTAAGAAAAGAGGGCTTATCGATTATGGTTTGTTGAAGTGAGCAGTTCGTTTGCAATACTGTCATAAGTTTTGCTGCTGGGTAGGTCACTTTCAACGCAGAGTTTATTCTGTGAATAATTATTCCAGCAATTTCATCACCTTTGAAACGTAAGTGTAAGAAGCAGGTTTTCTTTTCTACTCTATCGTATTCTGTATGAGGATTGCTTTTTGCATATTTCTGGATAAATTTCAATGGGTATTCATTATCACTTAGAACATTAGTAATCAGATTAATTTCATTATCAAGGTATTCTTTTGAACAGATTTTTTGAGCGCGGTCAAAAAGTGTTCGTACAATACCCTTTCTTTGTGTACTCTTGTTGTCGTTTCGGTACCAGACCTAAAGCGCGTCATTTACATCCTCTCACTTTCTGACGTTAACAGATATCAAACGCGGATATTTAATGGCGGTAAGGAACAGATGGAGTAGCCTGAACATGCTAATCATCGCAGAGGTGCAAGGGTCTGTGCTACATGGTAGCCAATGCATCTGTTGTACATCTTGTTTGTGATGTTCACCTCAAATACCGCACAAGAGCACAGGAACTCCGTGGACCATTGTGTCTGTTTGCTCCTGTGTGTTCATTGGTCCTCCAAAACAGTTCCTTATGACTCAAGGATTTTCGTGTCCAACTTGAATTTTAGAGGAATCAGAGATATCATTAAAATTTCTTCTATAACTTGTGCTAAAACAAAAGGTATCCTCAACGAAAGGGGTTATCTTTCCCTACGTTTTGTCCCTTATACAGACAGCATAGATTGACTGAATTGCTAATCTTACCACGGAATTTGTCCCCCGGTTCACTATCAAAGATTACCCTACTTCCTAACAAACTACATTCAGACACTGAGAAATCGAACCAGGGAGTTATGTCTAACGTCTTTGTCCCCCAATTACGGGGCTTTGCGAGCCATACTTTTGCTAATTCTCTTATCAACGCCCACCCATTGCCATGTACTGTTGTCAGATAATGGGGTATCAGTAACGGACGGCAATTTCGTTGTTGTATTGTGGTGTGTGCTACTTATATTGATATAAATAGTATATGATTTTAGTCGTGAACAGAAGGCCTGACGGCAGAGAGACAAGAGGATCGAACAGTAAAGAATGGAAACAGGATGCAATTTGTATGAAAATGCAAGAACAATGAGGTCTGAGGGATTTTGAGACAATTGATGGACATTTGGCAAATTAAGTATTTACTATATGATTGTTAGATTTTATTAACAAGTCCTGTAATTTTGTGTTAAATACATCCGACTGTCCACACGCGTGTTCCTGTTCACTACAATATGAGCTCGGTTTGTGGCTCTTATAATCACGTGTTTTGCTGGAGCTGTGCCAAACAAATTCGGTGTAGTGGAGGTAATGGCTGCGATTGTATTTGATTGGGTTTTATACCTCATGTTTTTTTCTGTATCAGGACCGTCATTTATCTCAAAGTACGGAGGGATAAGTACGTTTCGAATAGTTCTAACAAGAATTCAAGGGTCCGCATGCTTAAATGCCTCCAAACAATGTGGCAAATGATATAGTCCTCCGCTGCATTTCCTCGAAGGTCGTCGCTAGTGTCCAAGCTTTTAGTTTACATCAGATTCCAGGGGGTGATAAACTTGGGCGAAATATGTTGCCTGACGCATCATAGTAACTTGGTATACCATTCGATAATTCTAGGGACTGACTGTCGAATTGTTCTTTTGAGCTGATACTAAGTCTTTTAAGAGCTCTTGTGAACCTCATTCACATCTTATGGTTCTTAACAGTTTAATATTGTTCGCGAAGATTAGAGCTCAGATACCATGATTTTCTGGAAGACCGTTGATCAGAATGAGAAAGAACATCAAATCCAATATACTGTTTGTAAACCTAAAAATATGGGCCTTCTGGACTATGGTCGAATTTCAATATTTTTGGGTAAGAATGCTTGGTTTTACACGTGGTTCATTACCAAGGGATCTGAGAACCTTATTCTTTCAACTTTATCTAGTGTGAAGGGCTACGGTATAGCAAAAGTACCGGGAGTAGGATAAGAACTTTTCGATCACAGCAATCTGCTCACCAGTCTCAGCTTAAAGGGGCGTTTGTAACATAAGCACTACATTCCCTAGAGCCATTCTGTACTTCATGAAAGAGTTAAGGTGCTCCTTCACTACACCTTCCAGAAAACATTTAATACAGTCGACAGCATTTAAGGCAGTGTCCCAGCCGTATTAGAGCTCTTTGTGCGTGAATCGCCAATTTTCTTTGTTATCTCAATAATGTGTCTTTTATATTGCTTAGTGAATGGGTTCACCCTTTAACCTAGAAACAAGTATCATAATCACGGGAAATTCTGGTCGCAGTACCCTCATCAGACAGAAATCAAGTTTGATTTTCCGATGCATGCATCTAACTGTCAAGTTGCTGTTTTTAATTATTAGTGAAATTCTATGCAGTTAATCTGTCCAATCATATGTCGCACCATTTGCATTCTATGGGACAGTGAATATGTATTAGTTTCACCGCAGATTCCTGAGAACCAGGACCATTGTGAACTGAGGCAGTCGTTTCACTTATCATTGATCGCCAAATCTCAGGAATAAGAGAGAGGAATGTAGAAGCTTGAGGTGGACTCCTCGAGCACCCCTAGACTATCGATAGCTTTACAGTTACATTCTCTCAGGTCCAGTAATTAAAAAGGAGATAATATCCACTAACGTCTTTATAATAACGTGACAGACGTTCAAAATGGCACGAAAGAGGTACTACAGGAGAAAATGTAAGTGTATATACAGTTAACCGCACCTGAACGGCATTTTTGCTAGTGGGTGCATACACTTGATATAACCTAATTATGATGATAGAAAAAACATTTCTATTAGTCAATATACAATATTCAACCCGAAGAAAAAGAATAGGTCAACAAAATTTGCTCAAAAGATGAACAATCAACTATTAAATTAACAGTCAGTTGCAATTGTCTACAAAACAAACAGCAATCAATTCACAAAACAACCAAAGCATAACAATCCAACATAGCCATAGACATAAAGTAGTGTTAAAAAACACAACGAAAACAGCCGTCCAAAGATTTAGTAACACCAAGGAAATATCTACGATTTAGAATTTGTAAACATTACACTGGTTACAGTTGTAATCAAACCCGAAAATAGAAATAAACCAGTGAAACTTCAAGCAAATATGGGAGCAGTAATAAAAATAACAGGACAACAAAGTAATAACTTGGGAGACGTTATTTAATGGATTGTAAAAAGACTACCTAACGGTAGTTAGACTGCTTAAAACATTGCTCGTCCTTAAAATAATGTGAAGAGAAGAGGTGAGGAACAACTGAACGATTAAGGCAGTTCATCAAGTAAATAAGGAAACTTCCGATGAATTTATGAGGGATTTGTTTCGTTCAGAACTTTTCCAAAGGCAAGCCATGAAATCAGTTTGAGTACTCAGGTTTGAGTCTTGCGAACAATGAATCGAATCACTGTATCTTTATCCATTGCATTTCAGGTGACTCAATGATAATCTCTGAATGAGTTTCTAATGATAATTCCAGGTTTTTCTCTAAAATACTTGCCCGATTTGAATCCAAGCATAAAAGATTAAGGACGATACCCGTAAATTAGAGGTTCAACATAGCAATCAGGAGTGAAGACACATTGTACACCTTCAGTGTACCCAAGCCTTGTTATTTGCTACAGATGGAGTTGATCCAACCAATGTCTATTAAGTCTTTCAAAAGGAAAGCTGCTATATCATTAAGAACTCAGGTCAATTTATAATGTTGATTTTTCAATCCCTCTTTATTGCTTGTTTCACACATATAAGTCCCTTTTTAAAGGTGTCGATGGTCCAGTGTTACTGGACGCCAAAGCCTGCAGCGCAAAAGCTTCTATTTTGTCCACAAAAATTTGATATTTAACCAAAAACAAGGAGTGAGTTCATAAAAACGATAACCCTTAATTTCAAGACACACTTAAATATAGCAGTGATGTAACTCATTATTTACTGATTTGGTTTTTTCTAAGCATTTGCACAATCTTGAAGAAACCAAGTTACAAAATTCTAAATACACCCTTTTTTTCAAGTGATTTTAGACTTCATAATGCTTACACCACTGACAGTTGTCTAATATATTCGACTACCCTATCCAATGTGAATGTTTACTGCGATGTGGGAGCTAAGTTCTATTCTGTTTAACGAATCATATACTGTAAGTCCTGTAAAACACGGGTAATTATGAGTCATCTTGAAAAACCTTATTTCATACGCACCATTTCGTAGAGCAACCCAAAGCATTTATTAACAACCAAGTTACTTTGAATTTGTTGGCTAAATATAACGTCAAATGTACACTTAGAACCAAAGAAGAAATGCCTCCACCATTCAACATGGTTTACTTTGCTCCTCAAGTGAGCGTATCAAGTACGCATTATCTCCACTTAGGACAATTATGCCCCACTCACTAATTAAAATTCGTCATAATCATGTATGGATTCTTTAGAATGGTAGACGCGTTGAACTAACAACCGTCTTCGAGGAAAAACAGATATATTGACGGGAGTCTTATTCGAACTAGCCGATCTACTGCCTGTATCAAACACCCAAGCAAAATAAAAGAGAAACGCGATATAATGCATACCATGTCGCATGCCAGAGGGAAATAGCGAGAAAATTACTATAAATGTTCTCATAGAGTGAAAATGTCTCGGTATTTCGCCTATATTTACGCTAAATACATAGTGAGAATACACCAATGCACAATCCGGAAATTTTATCTGGTTGAAAAACGAACAGCTAAATGTGATAAATGAAGTGATCTTTACAAAGAGCGTTTCTTCGAAATGCATGCATACTAAAAATGCAAGGCAGTCTACAAACTCATGACCCATCGTGCTATTCAAATACAGAATGCCCGCCACCAATACTGGCGTTTTCAAGGTTGTGCCAGCGAGAAGAGGTAATTTTGACCAGAGGGTGACTTTTATTTATTTTATGACATCTCTTAACTGAGCAACAATCTGCTAGAAATTTTGTCACTATGATTTCATACAGAGGCTTAAGTTACTGGGTTTCGTGAGACCGACTAAGACCGCGTAGCCTGTATCACCGATCCACATGGTTTTGTAATTGCGAATTAATTCGTGATAATCTTTGCCTTCTTGGATATATGATCAACTCTTGGAATTTAAACCACCACATACGTAAAGAAATTTGTCGTACGTACTTATTCATTCCTGTATTCAGAGTCGTTCCAGGACAGCATCATTATCATGTTCTCGGTATATTGTAAATCTCTGGAAAACTCAGATCTGAGTCGGCTCTTGATTTTTTTCACAATTGTGACTTAAAATATCTGATGAGACTGCCTCAAAGTCTGGGGTTCTTGAAATAGCGTGTGGTATACGATTGTGTAATCAGATACAGTAAATTTCCCGTAATGTTTCCTGATAATGTACTTTCTCATAGTTTAAGTGACACTATTTGTCCGTTCTGTGAATTCATAGTAGAAGATAATATGATCAATGTCGTTACCGCAAACATTTAGAATTTATTGTGATAAAAGCACAGGATCAAATAAGTGATATTTGCGGCTTATAACTCATGATCGTTGATGTCGAGCTTAAGAAGTATCTACCTTAACTTTCCATTTTACCCTTAGTGATGCTTAGCTGCCTGAGACTAAATATATAGTGTATGGCTAACGGCAAATCTAATAGTCGAAAGGTCCAGTCCGTTAAGCTACATCTCCACACATTCCTTTACTGGTTTTCATTATTTAAGGATTAACAGTATGTACGACTTCCCTAATAGTAATTCCTAAATGTATTTGTGTTGCTTGTTATCCACAGGATAGTACGTAAAGATGGTGGATTCGACAAGCTTGTTTATTGAGACGAATACTGATTGTAATGCTGTAGGATCAGCGACATGGGATTTTGCTGGACATCATGTAGTTTTTTCCATATACGGCCCAGATGAAGCTAAGATCCATGACGAACTTACTCATCGTGCATATGTTGACGTCACAGTTACGCCTCGTACTGGACAACGAACATCAAAGGAATCAGAGCTTGAAGTTTACCTTAACAATCTTTTGGAACGTCTGATTGATGTGAAGGAGTTCCCACGATCTAAGGTTAGCGCTATGAGTGTGACAGTTTCTGAGTTGAAAATATTCCGTTTAATTGAGATCTTGTGCTGCATAGTACGAAACTCTCGAAGTTTACAGTACTGCTTTGCTAAAATAATTTTAATGATCATAACGAGATCATGTCACTATATATATGACATTTATAATGTTGGGGAAATTAGGTTGGTATCCTTTATACATCTTAAGAGACATTTGTAATAAACGTTATCCATTGAAGTCACCACTTTACAAAGTGTAACTTCAAATTTGTTTACCTTTGTCATTATTACATATTTTAGGTTAAAATGTTATAATATAGTTATATTTCATCCTAGTATTTTCACTTGTGAAAATAAAATGTAACTCCATTTTAAAATAACACTTTGTCATGAGATTTCTATTCACAGTCTATTGATACAATCGTATAAAAATTCCAAAACTTTCGTCATTAGTGACTAAGTTGAAGTTGTTATTTTATATTCAGCGTGCACCCCAACATTGATTTCGTGGATTAACTAACGTTTCATGATAAAGTAATAATTTGCTTGTCTCAGATATAACTAAAGTAGGACTTGTCAAAATAATACTGGAAAAATTATTGTAAGTGAATTGCTATTTCATTTTTACAGCTTTACATCAACCAGAACTAATCGGGACTATTTATATGTATAACTTAATAAATAGAACAAATAACATGAATTTCTTGTTAAACAAGATAAATATGAATAGTGTGTAGTTCGGTTAAAAAGGAACAAAATTATATATAACAAGAAAATAGATACAGCATGAGGATTAGTTAAGTTTCTAGATGTATATATTAAGAGGAAGAATTGTTTTCAGTATAGGTTTGTAGAGATTGTCGAGTTTCAATTGAGATCATAAACCTATCAATGTTAGACCACTATTGAAAACCTGGAGGCACTGGGTCGTTTACCAAAAAATACGTGGTCGAAGTAGCAATTAATTCAAAGGATTCTTTGTTGTTTAAGTTATAAGTGTAAAAATTTATGCCCAAATAAAATGTTGGTTTCCCGGACAGTTTTCTTATATAAACACGTATTAGAGTTCCTTAATAAATATTTAAAATCTTGTGATAAGAACACCACACAACTGATAAGTCCTTTTCACATGTACTGCGGTAAATCAGCACTAATATTTCTCCTTAGATAGAAAAATAGTAGTAGTAATCAGTCCATAAAACCATTTTATATCATGACTTTTCACTTATTCTTTTTTCCCACTACAATGCACTGTTTCATTTTTTTCTTTAAAAGTAGATTGTGCTTTCTTACCGAATCAGTAAAGTTTATCTTTTATTTGTATTATTCCTATATAGTTTATTAGTCATTTCTTTTGTCATCTAGTTTACTGGACGTTTGTTTATTGTCACTGGTGGCACTAATCATCCTAGAACAGTGGCTGCAGCCATAAACGCAATCTCATTAGCTCTTCTTTTGTCTGGTTTACCACTACGGGCAACAATTGCATCAGTATGTCATACAATCCAAAATGCTTGTAAGTTATTTATTCTTAATCATTTCATATTAACAAAGATTTTAAACACATAAACATTGGTACAAGGAGGAACCAGATAGATATACGCTACGTAAATCATTCGATTTGTGCGAGGGCTGGGCTACTGCCCGGGTACCCAAACAGGAGCACGTGGTTTTCTTAGGGAGGCACACCCGAAGCCTTTGACCTAAAGGTCTGATCCACGAGGAAATCGAGCAACGTCAGGAGAAGCAGTCCCCTTGTAGCCAGTGACCAACGATTGGTTCATATGCCATTCGCTTCCTCAGGATACTGGAGCCTATATGCACCATTGGTTTGGAATGAGGGTTTTCCAACTCCCCTAGGTGGACTCTCCGTGTCCACCAACCCGGTTAAAGCTCCAGACATTCGCTTTTCGTCCTCTGAATTTTGTAAACAGCAGTAATGCCGCGAGAATACATTGAGTAAGAATTTCCTGTCAATGATTGTATGCACGCGACCATATGAGAGCATTTGGAGACGGAGAGCTGACTCTCCTCACTCTCGGCCGTACCAGGACATTTGGGGGCAGATAAGCGAAACAAGTCATGTTCTATGCACTATTTCCATACTTTGCTTTTGATCATATACTCGCAGTCATTCCAATTTTTAGTAATTATAGTTGCCTCATTACTAGTGCTGAACTCCACCTGGAGCTACTGCCAGTTCCAAGAAGGAGGGTTGGGCATGGGGTTAGCGACCCCATCCTGTAGGAAACTAGCTCACTCATTACTGGTGCTGGTACGTGAGAAACTCAAATATGTTTCATATACTCTGTTCATTAATGGATATATTGTCAGTATCACAAATATGTGAATATCTGTATCGTGAAAGAAGTGACTAAATTTATCAGATTTGTTTTAGAAAATGAGCATATTTTGTCTGCCTATCTGGAATAGTTATTCTGTTGATTGTGTGTAGGACATACTCTCATAGATCAAATTATTCACTAAATTACTGTCAATAAAACTAAATTGTTATGGGATCTCAGATTTTTTATAGTAGATAGTCCATTATGTACATCTTTTCAGTGCTTTGTGTACATGTTGCTATATAAATGAATAGTCAACGAAATACACAAACCAATGTATTTTGTTGAGGGGCAATGAAGATCCGATTATATTCCAATCGTTCTATCCACACATATACAGCCACTACCAGGGAGGTTCTACTCCAGTTTTTGCAGCAACGGTATTGTTTAGGGAACTGACACGACGAAAATCAAATGTCCAATGCTTTAACCCGATTGGTGGTGGGTACGGAAGATCCATCTAGGGAAATTGGAAAATCCTAATTCCAAACCAATGGTGCACATAGGTTCCAGCATCCTCAGGGAACGAATGAAACATAAACCTATTGTTAGTCAATATCGACCGTGGGACTGCACCTCCTAAAGTTGCTTCACCACCCTATGGAAAAACACCTGCCTCAGTTTCGGTGCCCCGGAACAGTAATCCAGCCTTCATACAAATCGAATGATGAAGTATGGCGCATAGATATTTGGTGCCTTATTGTAATAGCATTTATACTTAAATAAAACAATGTATATATACGTCCATTATTCGCTTACAAAAAATTCCATATGAGTTTGTACGCAAGAACTTGCGGTCACCTAATCAGTTGTTTTGTATCTCCACAAAAATAAGTATAAATTACGCTACTTTAAAAAAAGAATGCGTCTACTAATAAATCGTGTTTTCTTTTCTTTTCTACGTTTCACAGTAATCACATTTGCAATAGATGTAACTCATCCAAAGCTTTATACTAAAAAGTATGGTTCTAATGAGCCTAGTATATTTGCTATCTATACTGGTCAAACACATTCTGAAATTGACAAAACTAATGGGTTATCTTTACATATCTCAATTCAAAATTTTCTTGATATGATCAAATTACCAGAATCAAATGACAATAATATCAACATCACAGAGAATACAAAACATGAAAGTATTTATGAACAAGCTTTAAGTTTACTTGATGCAATGGTATCACAAATTGTTTCTAATGTACATACATAGTGAATATTACATTCTCTATGAATCAACTATACAATGTATTTGTAAATATAATTTCTACTGTAACTAATATTTCTTTCTTTTTTTGTTTTATTTTCTTCTTCACCGAATAATGCATGATATTAGCGTTGTGAATAGAAGATACTATGTTATAAGTGTTTTAAAGTGGTTGTTAAACGAATCCAATTCAATGATATTCTAATCCGATAACCTAAATCTTAGATTAAAAACTATGATCTAATTGAGTAAAAATGGAAGTTTTAGTCCATAGATCTGATTTAATTTATTCAGAGAATTTTATCGTACAAAATTTTTTTATGAATATGATCAAAGGAATCAGTCAATTACAACATAGGACCAAGCACATATATGCATCGGTCCAAGTTGCCATGCCTCATTAGCACAACAACATGAACACCGAATTCATAGAAGTAGTTAATTCAGTGGTGGTAATATATAAAATAAAGATTGCAATAAGGATATAGTACAGGAAGAAAGAATTAGTACGTAGAAAGGAAGATATGAAGCGATTTTAATCTCACAGTTTAAGGGAAGACAGAGAGTGTATACACCTACACCATTGTGATCGATTCTGAACTATGTCACACAGAGTCTCCAACCATTGATTATGATAGTCACACGGACCCTAACCAAGTAGTCTCCATCTACCAACATGGCTCAGATTAGAAGTTGGTGACTTTAAGCACTGATGCCACGTTTTGGTTTGGCCGCCCCTAACTTTCTTCCAACCAGTCAGCATTGCGCGTCGTGGTAATCGGTGGTCGGGCATGCGTAACACGTGGCCCAACCATCTCAGTCGACGAAGATTGACAATCTTATCAACTACTTTACAATCATTCTCTAATACCCTGTATCTGTGTAACCTCACTATTACTTACGTTGTGATCCCAGCAGATACGAGCAATATTTCTAAGACATCTGAGTACCTTCTACTCTTAATGGCTACATTTCGCAGCTGTAAAGTAGAACAGGACAAACTGTTGCCCAGTATACTCGTCCCTTAATCGATAGATGGATATCTCGCCTTCGCCATAGGTGACGTAAGTTGACGAAAGCCAAACGAGCTTTTCGAATTCGTGTTGAGATTTCGTCAAACACCAACCCATTAGGGCTGACCAAGGAAATAAGATGTAATATTTCATAAGCAGCTTTTTTCCGTACTTATATGCTGACACTATCCTAAGATTTAAAAATAAAACATGAGTAGATAAGGAACATATTTCAAGGAACTCGGCTAACTGGATTACCGATTGTGTTGGGTTTTGAACGAAAATAAGTAATAATTCGGAAAATTTATCTAATAACGTAGGCCGAAAGGAATATCTCCATAGGAATATAATGGTAGTGTTTATTACGACATGATATATATTGGTCGCTAAATTCATCTGACCGATGTCACTATAAGAAGTGCTAAGGTGACGTGAAATGTTTAAACAGACTCCTATATTGAAATACTTGATCAGTTTCATAAGCCGGAAAAATACCAGCAGACATACGTTATTTATCAGTAGGAGTTTAAGCTAACGTATTGTCAATTTCCATACACCTATTCTAAATAACTTGTGACACAATGGTTATATCAAGTCCGATCAGTACAGGATACATGTATTATGAAAACAAAGACTGATCAAACTCAGTCATTAATATCAACAACGGGATGACTTAAGCCCAATATTCATAATGGTCTAAACATCATAATCATTTCACAAGTGAATGGTTATCTGCAATCATCAGCCTAGTGGATAACGCATTGGCTATTTGAAATAAAAAGCATTGGTTTTAAGTCCCAGTGTAAACAACCAATACTAGGATGCAAGTAGATCCGGCTGACGAGTACTAAACAGGACGAAACACGCATCACGAATTCTTTTCGTAGCTACAACACATCCTAAACAGATAAATTGTTGTAAATTTGGGTGAGACTGTAATTTATTGACTTCTGAGCGACGCTAAACTGACCTTGAGGATGTCCATCTAATAACTACGACCAAGTGAGTGTTATAAACGAGTGTGAGGAATTAGAATTTTGATTTACAGTTGATGATTAAGGTTAGAAATCAGATTTAGGATTTTCATCGCGAACTGACATCACTATGATGCCAAGACGCTATTTGACCAAATAGATGAGTGAATTTCGCGCCAAAATCTGAGACTTGTTATCTTATACGTGATTGATTTGTCCGTAAATTATAGTCTCGCCTAAATATGTTTAATCTCCTATTTTATTGTATTTATACGAACACATAGATAGTGGTACTAGATACATATGCGCCACACAAATCTCATTTGATTTGTTTGAGGGCTGTGATACTGACCGGGTGCCCAAACCGAAGCACATGGTTTTCTATAGGTCTGATCCACAACCCAGCGGAGCAACGTCAGGAGAAGCAGTCCCATGGTAGCCGGTGACCAACGATTGGCTCATACGCCATTCGCTGCCTCAGGATACTACAGCCCGTGTGCACCACTGGTTTGGAGTCAGGGTTTTCCAACTCCCCTAGGTGGAATCTCCGTGTCCACCAACCTGGTTGAAGCGCCGGATATTCGCTTTTCGTCCTCTGAATTTTGTAAACAACAGTAACACCACGAGAACGCAGTGAGTAGGACTTCCCTGACAGAGGCTATATACGCGTAGCCGTGTAAGAGCGTTTCGAAAGAGAGAGTGGACTCTCCCCACTCTCGGCCGTACCAGGGCATTTGGGAGCCATACTATTGATTGGAACTAACATTTACTATTTGTTACACTCAGAAATTTTTATTCATTAGATGCAGTAACTGTGAGTATTATTATACTACCAATCTACGACATACATTAATAGTAAATGACATCTAAAAGAAAATCATTTTACAAGGAATAAAACAATGGAAACAAAAGTTGATGATGATGATGCTTACCTACGATATACCATCATCGAATTTATCGTTTATAGAAAGATAAATAACATAACTAGTCAATTCTTTATAATTGTACTATAATACGATGATAATCATTTTCTTAACAATCATATCATGATATTCAATAAAATTAACATTGTCTTTAAATAAACAAAATGAATTATTATAAAGAAATAATTAGAAACTATTCTATGTCTGGATTAGCATGACCTGAAAGTACTGAAGCCGCATATTGAACATGAATACGATATGGGATAGTAACATCAATCACAAATGATTGTTTACGCATTGTATCTAAAAATTCAGTCAATTTTGGGAATTCTTTACGTAATTCATCATTTATATTTAGTTCATTGATTTCTTCTGGTTTTTTACCGGTTATTCGACCCATAACCACTTCGAATAGATGCAAATGTGGAAACAAAATCAAATCGGCTAGACTTAATTCAGGACCTAAAAAGAAAAAAATATATACTATTTGAGAGAAAAAGCAATTCGATTGGGAGACGAATGAAAATCTCCATGATAAGGCAAGAATCCTTGGATATTGATTAGGCTATACCTTACAAATAATAGTTTAGACTACGATGTAAATACTATGACGAAACACAATCTAAATTGTAATATTCCCACAGCTTGACTAAACAGAGAGAATGATGATTACCAATTTTTGTATAAGCTAAAAACACGTAACGAATAAGACGAGAATCTGGAAATTGATTTAGAAGTGTGGGAACGATGATTTTCGAAAATAACATCTGCGTATAGCGTGATAATACAGTAATACCTAAAGAAATATATTGACTTCAGCACCTCTGATAAACTAGTTATTGGCCTCATAAACAGGTCAACGAAATGCTATTCGATAAAAGTATTAAATAAATTGCACAGAATAGACCTGAATTCGTAGAATAGGGCGTATAAGATACTTTCAAAGCTCAAGATCTAAGGCAAGCCGAAGAGTGAACTCATCTACACCACAATTGTAACCAATTCTGAAACATTTCAATCAAAATCCCCAACGATTGGTTATGATAATCGTGTGGACCGCGCACAAACAGCCTGCACCCACCAACACATCTTGGTCGAATAGTAAGGGACTTCATGGAATGATACATTGTCTTGGTTCGGGCATGTCTAGCTTTCTCACAACCTACTCCTAACACCAGTATGGTGGTGGTTGTGATGGTTGGAGATACGTAATATATATTCCAACCATCTGAGTTGATAAAGATTTACCATCTCTTTAATAGATTAACCACTTTTACTTATTATCGTGCATCTGGTTCCAGATTAGTCCACTTGATGATCCCAACATAGGGGAGTAATGATTTGATGAACAAATAAACTTGTTTAAAGCTGTTAACTAAGTATCCTACTAATTTAAGAACGTGGATACCAACTAATTATCATAATTTCACAACAGAATCATAAAATTGGATTCGCTAAAAATGTGTAGCATAAGCTCAGATCAGGTTAGTATCTGTTGGATGGAGTGATCAAAGCATTAAAAAACCGTAGGCGTTTAGTGATGTAATTTTTACAGATTTAAAGTTTAAATTATCAGGTAATATAAACGGAACCTTGTTTCACTGTTTCCCAGGTCTCTTTCGAACACATATGGAGTACACATCCTATTGTACGTTAATAACTAAAAGGTATTATGTTTTTCATGAGGCTAATAGTAATTGGTTTTCAATAATATTCCATTTAAGATCAGTTCTATTTTGATGGAGTTTTGTTCTCTGAGCTAAATGGTTTGATCGCGCACCTTTCATCGGTTCTTCTGAACGACATCATCAGCACAAACTTTAGGTAGATGTGAAGTGTTCGAATTTCTCCACATATGGTTCACAGCTTGTTCTGTAGATCTCGATGTTGACTGGTTCTTGTTGACCTTCAACCTGTTATTGTTTACTTCTTTGTTTTGGTTGTATTTCCTATTGCTGATGATATCGTTCAGATGAACAATGAAAGCTCCACAACTAAACCATCCAACTCAGACTACAAAACTCCATCAAAATCATCTATCTGAGCTACAAATCTTCTCCACCATCTCAAGATCAGTTCTATTTGGAATTATAATATAATTGAAGATTGAGACAAAACTTTACTTTATTGTGTCGAATTGTTTTGAAAATTTTTTAATGATTCTAAATTAAACTCAATCCACTGTAAAATTCATAAATATTTTAACTTCGATCCAGCAGATCGAATTACACTTAAACATTCATTTGGACATTTATTTTTTATGTGTAATGTGAAATAACCACAAGAACTGAATAATATAAAAGGGTTTATTATCATTAAGACAGATGAAAATCATGAAGACTCCACCGAGTATCGAACATACAAGACTTTCAAGTCTAGGAGATGGCACTATTAGATCTCAGATTGAAAGATCAAACACTTGTTGTGAGACCTGAAGGTGTTGGATTCGATTCTTATCGAATTCATGCATGTACATCTTGGGAAGTACTATATTAAGTCAACTAGCATAACAATGATGCTGCCTTCTCACACGGAGGGGCTAGGTTAGAAAAGATCGACCCAAAAAATGCACACCTCGCCTTATCCCACGGATATCCGTCTCCGGCGGTAAGGTTTCAACAAGAATGGAGCTAACATGGAAATTACTCACAAAAAGGTCGTACGTGACCGACCTCATGCAGTTGTCCCTTGGGCACTGCAGTCACGCCCTCAGGTCATCAAAAAAACCTTTAATCCAATTTCATTTTCAGGTACTTCCAGAAGAACCCTTCCACAGTGTGAGCAACCGTGAATTGATAACCGCCATCATACCTCTAACAATACTCAAGACCACTGACTGATTGATACTAGGTCAAAACGGCTATCCAGTGTTTCACGGTTTCAGTGATTGTCTAACGAAAGGTAAACTATAAAATTTAACAAGTCTTCAACATCCCTCCTATAACTTATAATATTTGATTAGAATGCTAAGTGAATATGGGATAAGTTTGTTTTCTTTCTTTTTTTTGATGAAGATTGTAACCTAGCAACAAAATACAGTTAGAAAATATGACCAAACTTAAAGGATCTCACATCCAATGTAACTTATTGAATTGTTGGAGGTAAATTAAAATAGATAACTGGTCATTACTAACTATTGTAACAATAATCTAATACATATTTATCATTAAAATAAATAAATTGAATTACCAGTAAAATATGGACCTTTGATAGCGTCATTTATCTTATTGCATGCTGCTCGATACAATGATACATCACATAGATTTATTTCTTGCACACACATAATCATATAACTTGGTCTCGATATCTATATAAATACAAAGGATATATATATATATTCATTAAGTAAAACTATCGTGGATAAATAAAAGTTATGTTATGGTACGGTCGAGGGTGGGGAGCGTCATCTCTCCCTCTCCAAATGCTCTCACATGGCCACGAAAAGCGCACGTCCGACGCTATAACCGGGTTGGTGGATACGAGACATTCATCTAAGGGAGTTAGGAAACCCTCATTTAAAACCAATGGTGTACGTGGGTTCCAGCATCCTCAGAGAACGAATGGAATATGAACCTATTATTGGTCACCGTTGACCATGGGAGTGCACCTCCTAAACTTGCTCTACCACTGCCTTGTGGATTAGACCTGTAGGTCAAAGGCTCGAGGAATGGTGCACTATGAAAACCATTTGCCTCAGTTTCGGCGTCCGAACAGTAATCCAGCTTTGATACAAATCGAATGACGAAGTGTGGCGCATATGTATTTTGTGCCTCATTGTATCAATGTTTATGTGTTTAAATAAATAAACTATTGATGTAGTGTATGCTACTTATGTCTATCAACATAAGTGGTATGTAACTACGATCAAAAGTGAACTGCCTTACAGCAGAAGGTTAAGAACATCAAATTGAAGAGAACGGGAATGTAAACAGAGAGTAACATCAGTGAAGGAACAATGAAGTTCAGTTTTTTTATTTTACTAAATAACTCTATAATTTTCCATCAAACAACAAATTGATCTTCCCCACATGTTTAGCGAACAAATACCATTTTTCAATTAGTTCCTCACCAAGGCTCTCAATCAGTTAACCAGACACAATTTAGGACCTGAAATATGCATACTTTAGTTCAAGTTGCTATACCCAATCTCCACAGCAAGATAGATTTGTCAGGGCAAATCCCAGAGCAGTGGAGTTAGTAACAGTAGTAATGGTAATAGGAAAGATTATACATCCAAGATACAATTCAAGAAGGAAATATAACTTGGTGAACTAATAAAAAAAGGTTGTGAGGAATTTTGAAGCTTAATATCTAAGAAAAGACTAACAGTGAATGCACTTCTGTCATTAACAATGAATTTGATACATTTCACTCGTAGCAGAGGTGAATGGTGGCTAGCAGTGGAATCCAGGACGCACATTTCGTCCTAGCTGGAACTCTTTGGCTAATTGTACCTGTACTCCAATGTTGATGTTCAGATTGGAGTTCGAAATCAATACCTTTCGTTTGAAACAACGAACGCATTACCCGCTAAATTGACGAGTCCACATAGCCAGTCACTTGTGTAACGGGTACAATATTTAGACTACTATTAATATCTGTCTGAATTATCCCTGTTGATATTCTTGACGGAATAGTTATCTATAGGTACCTTTGTTACAAACATCAATATCATTCACCCTCGTTATGGTTCTATAAGCCTTAAATTTCTACGTAGACAGATGTTTGTGTTACGCACAAAAGAGTACCATTATGCGTGTGAAGGTAATGTCACCTCTATTCATCAAAATCAATCTAAACTATCCCGCTTTTATAGTTGAATTCATGAGTCAATTGAAGCTAGACCACCATGGAAAACCTGGAAGCACTGTTTTGTTCCAGTATGGGACTCGTCAGCAGTGCGCTTCAATTGGCTTATGAATTTAACTATAACCAAAATCTCCACGAAACCCCCCTCTGATAATAATCATCATATGCTCATTAGTGACGGTCTTCAAGAGGTATTTCCTGAATTTCTAGTGAGAAGCAGTGACTAGTGAAGTTCAACTGGGTCTGTTGTGTGAGATAGTAACTCACTGAAGACAATTGTTGACGGTGTCTCAACTTCGTGGATTGAATGAAGTTAGACGTTGTCACTGTCGAATGCCAGCTCAGTGGTTTAAAGGTTAAGTGCTTTCGCACGAGACTCATAGGTTCGTGGATGCGCACTGCTAAGGAGCCCCATACTAGAACGAAACAGCCGTCCAGTGTTCTCAGGTTCGCCATGGTAGCTTAGCTTTAATTAAGTCATGAATTCAACCATAAAACTACTAAAATATCTACAAAACCCCCATCTATTAATATTCTCTTGTTGCCGATAATTTCATGCATGAATATAATCTTTAGAACTCTTGTTATTGATAAACTTGTATCCCATTCTTGTTAAATACACTGGATTTTATCATATCCTTACATCAGTAGATCAAATATATTCTGAAAATATAGTAGAGTTATTAAAAGAAATTATGTTTAGAAATCAAATGGTACTATTAACATTGTTTTTCACTAAATTGTACTGGATCCGGTTGATCAGTAAATGGTTTTCGAAAAAATCATTTCTTCTAAAATGATGGTTGGATGTAGTCGACAGGATACACTGCTCAACCGAGGTTTCGTGCTATTCAGCACCACCAGTAACATTGAGGGAACTGACAGTCTCTGGCAAATTCTATCACATGTCATCTAGCTTCAAAGTCAAAGATATTAACACTGAGGTAAAATGACCATGATTGACCTCTCATAGGATTGAGACATATTAACGATTACATAGTGGTTTTAGGAAAGTGTTGAAGATATTTTTTTCTACCTTAAATGAACCTAATACCTCGGTCCAATATAAATGAAGAATTCATTTGAATGGTTATAATAAACTGTACAATGGTTTTACATTTTACATTGATTGATGATGTTACCAACACAAAACCAAAACAATAAATGCAGTAAAGTAATTCAGTCAGTCAGTTACAACGTAGGACCAGGCACATATATGCATCGGTTCAAGTTGCCATACCTCATTAACACAACAAGATGAACACCGGATTCATAGAAGTGCTTAATTCAATGGTGGGAATATATAAAAGAAGGATTACATATAAGGATATAGTACAGGAAGAAAGAATTAGTTCGTAGAAAGAAAGATATAAAGCGATTTTAATCTCTTAGTTTAAGGGAAGACAGCGAGTGTATACACCGATGCCATTGTGATCGATCGATTCTGAGCCATGTCACAAAATGAAATTCTAAACATTGGAATATGAATGCTATAAATTATATAATACCAATTACAAAAAGATAGATTGATGGATAGAACACAGAGGAGACATCCATCTTAGAACTGATGATGACACTGATTTTTTAACGTAAATTACAATGTTGTATTGTCGTAATCGTTCATGAATGAAATAACCAAACATGATTATCATTTGATTGTATTAACAATACATATTAACTAGGCCATTGATGGTATTTTTTCTTACTAAATAAGTACTTTGTTTGACTCAAAAAGATGGTTTAAGAGAATCTGTTGTCAGGCATTAGGTAAATTTGCACAAGTATAGGTGTTGGGGACGATAGATCCCCAAACTCATATTTTAAATTTTATCGCATCGATCAACTTATTGATTAAATGTTTAAATATTTGTATTGGGGTCAATTGATGAACTGATCGATTAAATGGTTGAATAGCAATCAGTTGATGAATCTATCAATTCAATGTGCAAACAGGTCAATTTATGAAATTTTCTATGACAATATCGATTATATATATATTGTGCTTGCTTGCTGCTCGCTCGCTTCTGGCTGTTGCAGAATATATTTTCCATACTAAGCCTGGACTTCTTCTTCTAGATAGCGGGGCTGGGACGCGTCAATAGTTAGATCACTGGTCTTTGGTCACTGAGTATTGTTCTCGTTCGCAGTTAAGCGAACTCGTGAAGTTTCAAACATAACAATAGGTAAGTATATTTAAGTCTCATGATACAAGCTTACATTAATACATCAACACTATTAAAGACATAAAAAAATACTATAGAAGTTATGAGGATAAACAGAATTCTTAGTGTTTTAACAAATGATAACAACAATGATTATCAATTTATGTGATACATACCACTACCAGGGAAGTCCTACACACTGATTTCTCGTAACAGAGATGTCGTTTGCGAAATTCAGAGGACGAAAAGTGGACATCCAGTCCACGAACCGGGCTGGTGAATACGGAGCATCCACTTGGGGGAATTGGAAAAATCTCATTTCAAACAAATGGTACACATGGGTTCCAGGATCCTAAGGTAACATATGGCGCATGAACCTACTGTTGGTCTTCGGCTACCATGGGACTATATCTCCTAACGTTCTCCATTGCCTTGTGGATTAGATCTCTATGTAAAAGGCTTGAGGAATGGCCCTTTAAGAAGATCACCTGGTTCAGTTTTAGCACATGACAAGTATTCCAGCACACACACACACAAATTTCCTACCGTGCATATATATTCTGGTGTCGCTATGTACCGATATTTGTGTATTTAAGTAAATAAATAATAAATTGATATCCAATTTCTAGCTACGCATTTGATAAAGAAAGAGAAATCATTGTTAAATATTGAACATGATTTACGCGGTGTTGTGTCTAAGACATCGATCGGTACAGTGTGCTAAATGGGTCAATTACAATCCCGATTGTAATTTCCCTACATTAAGCACGCTATTCCGTCTATAACCTAGTGCCATAAACCTTGACCAAAGGCACATTTTAATAGACTATCGGGCCGTCAATTCGTGGCTTCACACACTAAAATTAGGGGAAGTACCAACCAGGCTCCCATTATTCATATTTCAAGCATATATGAGTTTATATACAAACATACCGGACTACATCACACTATTAAATAGAAAATTATAGTTATACACAAACAGGTTAACTGTGACAGTGAATCGGGCAAGGTGTAGTTAGTTGTTTAGCAATAATTTTAGAATAATAAAACGTACAGTAATAGTTAGTGGGTCAAATGGAAGCCTATTATAAACGGAATATAGAAAAAATATTAGTTCAGTTACCTAGTAATTATACAATATGGATATATATAATAATCCATAAGATAGCTTAGATTTTTACCATTATTAGTATTATTTAAACACGAAAACACTGGTACAAGAAGGCACCAAATAGATATGCGCAACACAAATCACTCGATTTGTGTGTGGGCTGCGATACTGTCTGGGCGCTCAAACCGAATCACGTGGCTTTCTTAGGGGGCCACACCCGGAACCTTCGACTTAAAGGAGCAACGTTAGGAGATAAGGTCCCACGGTAGCCAGTGACTAACAATAGATTTATATACCATACGTTACTTTAGGATCCTGGAGCCCATGTGCACCATTGGTTTGGAATCAGGGTTTTCCAACTGCCCTAGATGGATGCTCCGTACTCACCAACCCGGTTAAAGCTCCGAACCTTCGCTTTTTCTCCTTTCAATTTCTTAAACAACACCTCCGCTGTGAGAAGGCAGTGAGTAGAACTTCCCTGGTAGTGGTTGTATGCACGTGGCCATGTAAGAGCATTTCGAGAGAAAGAGAGCTGACTCTCCCCACTCTCAGCCGTGCCATTCTTCATTTTATTACATCATATAATAACCTACTGTTGTACAATAAACAAAGAATATAATGAATATAATTATAAATCAATTATTCCCATTTTAAAGGTAGATAATAAAAGAAAATACAACTACTGATACTTCTTCTATGTTAATATTTAAGTGATAAAACTATTCAACACTTACACCAGTAATAAGTTCTTTAGCTTTTTCAAATTCTTCAATACCACAATGGGATAATAAAGTTTCAGAACCATATAATTTATCTATATGACGTATAATCTCATCGGATTCTGGTAATTTTTGTTCATTTGGTAATAATAATAATGGAACTTTGCCAATTGGATACATTTCTAAAAACCATTCAGGTTTTGAAGCCAATGAAACATTGATAAGATCATAACTGTGTTGAGATGGGAAAGAGAGAGAGAGAGAGAGAGAGAGAGAGAGTAACAACATCATTTCCATTACAGATGAAATAAAACAATGACAAACAAGTTTATGTTATGGATTAAGATTGTTAAAGGATATTTAGATATTGTTGGACTAATGAAGTCAAATGATAAGATCAGGTGATTGATAATATGTAATGATACATAACTAAAGTTTTTTGACTTAAGTCTCCAGATCAACTGATATCATGGGATAAGGCAGCTGACAAACAAAATAGAGGGTTTTCTATACAATAGAATAACATGCTCACGTGCAAAATATTAACACAAACCAAACAGGATGGGTGATTTGAGGGAATCAATCTAAGTAGGTTACTTACCCTTTAATGAATTGAAACCTTGTCTATCATAATATTAATTCTGCTCCACTTCCTCCAAGGAATTGACATTATAAGACAAGACAGTTAAAAGTATAGTTTTTGAAATAACCATTAACTAAAGAAAGATGGATAGTGGCTAGCAGTGGAATTCAAGACGCGCGTTTCGTCCTATTTATGACTCATCAGGGAAGTTACAAGTAAAAACAACAACAAGTGAATTTAACTTCATTCCACTGCACAAGCAAGTGACTATCAGTACTCAGTAGCTCAGTGGATAACACGATGGCATTTGAAGCGAACGATACTGGGTTCGATTCCCGGAGTGAACATCAACTCTGGGATGCAGGTACATCCAGTTGACGAGTCCCAAATAAGACGAAATTAACGTCCTGGATTCCACTGCTAGCCACTATCCATCTTTGCTTATAATGCTTGTGAATTAAGGTTATATCGAGGCAATTCGCACAGGATGAACATATGCCAACATGAGACTGATCAATTACAGTCCTAAATAACAATGGGAAGATACAAGTAAAAAAACAACAACACTAAGTAAACCACTAATTAACTATCACAAATCACAAAACTTTCTGATGTCTATTATAATTATACTGATTTTTCTTCAGCACAACATTGGATTTCTGCATAATTTATGATCATTCTTGTAACTCTATCAACTTAAAAACAGATTCAAAATAATCAAGTAAATGCTGGGATACTGTTCGGGTGCCCAAACCGAACCACTTGGTTTTCTTAGGGGGCCAAACCGCGAGCCTTTGACCTAAAAGTCTGACCCACAAGGCAGTGAAGCAACGTCAGGAGATTCCGTCCCAAGGTCGCCAGTGACTAACAATAGGTTCATACTCCATTTGTTCCCTATGGATCCTGAAGCCCATGTGCACCATTGGTTTGGAATCTGGGTTTTCCAACTGCCCTCAGTGGATCCTCAATATTCACCAGTCCGGTTGAAGCGCCGGACATTCGCTTTCCGTCCTCTCAATTTCGTAAACAACAGTAACGCCACAAGAAGGCAGCGAGTATGACTTCCCTAGCAGTGGTTGTATATGCGCGGCCATGTAAGAGCATTTCAAGTGGGAGAGCTGACTGCCCCCACCCTTGGCCGTACCAGGGCATTCCGGATGTTTTTGTAACGGATATTGAGTGCGCGCACACTTTATATGTCACTTAGAATCCCTAGTCAATGCTATGAATCAAGGGATGAAACAAGTGTTCGCGAAGCTGTCCCAAAACCAGAATGCCTAGGAGTAATGTCGTTCATGCAGTCGAAAAATTTAAACTTAGTCCACAAGTTTGAAATTACGAGTAAGGCTCAATGCTTGCAGTGGTAAAAATAAAGATTTATTTAAGATGAAAGTAGTTGAACTAGACCTTGGCTCACGAAGATGATGTCAAATGAAGAAAAAAAAATATGCCGTTTTGATGTCATCCAAAATGTTAAAGATGGTCACTTTGTGTAAAGCACTCAGTGTTTCTGGAAAATTGTATGATGAGCAATCATCAAATTTCAATATTTGTTATAGTTATTAACAGATACCCAACGAATCTGATGATACTTACTATCTTGCTTATTCGGACAAAGTGAATGTCAAACATAAAAAAGTCAACTTTGTTTTAGTAAATTAAAGTCATTCCAATTGCACAATATACCTGTATGCAGAATGCAGCAACCTACTGATCTTAATATGTATGAAGCACATAAACCGTTCCACTTAAATGTTTTAGCAACAAAGCGAGCCTACATGTGTCATATACTTTATTACTGACAAATTAAAATGTAAAATATGCTTATTCGTATTGTGTCTGGAAAAAATGGCATCGTTTTTTTTCTTTATATGAAAGGTGGAAAAACCGTCATGTCCTATCCACTACCATCGCTTCTTCCCGATTTCTTCCTTCACTGGGATCTGGTTTGTTCTTTCCCACAGTTGGTTGTTGCTAATAGTGTTTGACCAACGGATCCGAAGTATTTTGCGTAGACAACTGTTAATAAACACTTGTATCTTCTGAATGATGGCTTTCGTAGTTCTCCAGGTTTCCGCCCCATACAGTAGAACTGTCTTGACACATATAATGAAGGTGTGAGTAATGTTGAGACAGTTCAGATCAATAAAGTTACATTATTTGTAACGTGGGTATATGAAGATCGAACATCCTTTCGTGAGGGGAAGGAGAACCATATATGCATTGAACAAAAGAGCAGAGCAAAGTTAGCATAAAACTGAAAAAAGCCCAACTGAAAGCTGGACTAGCCGAGATCCTATCGGGTATGAAGAAGAACAACAATATTTCGAATGGATACTCCATGGAAAAACTTATTCCTACGTATTCAATTACAAAGAAAAGGGGAGGTGATAAGACAAGATAAAACGGAAAATCAAAATTTGACTCATTACAATTCATATTCAACATTACTCCCGTTTTTTTATTCAATGTGATAATTACTTAGTGTAGTTTTTGGTGGAGTTTTGTTCTCTGAGCTGGATGGTTTGGTCGTGGAGCTTTCATCGTCATCATCAGCACAAACTTCAGATAGAAGTGAAGTGTTTGAATTTCTCCATATGTGTCTCAAAGCTTGTTCTGTGCACCTCGACGTTGATTGGTTCTTATTGACCTTAAATTTGTCGTTGTTTACTTCTTTGTTTTGGTTGTGTCTCCCATTGTTTTGATTTTTGTTCTTATGTTTGTGCATGATATTTTGTCAATAAGAACCAATCAACGTCGAGGTGCACAGAACAAGCTTTGAGATACATATGGAGAAATTCAAACACTTCACTTCTATCTGAAGTTTGTGCTGATGATGTCGTTCAGAAGAACGATGAAAGCTCCACGACCAAACCATCCAGCTCAGAGAACAAAACTCCACCAAAATCATCCACCTGAGCTACAAATCTTCTCCACTATCTCAAAATCATACTTAGTGTAGTACTTGTTTTGTTTCCCAGTGTGATGTTTTAGTCTGTATAACATACAATATTCTTGTATTAAATTCAAATAAACTATACTCAGCATGACATGTAGCATGTGATTTTGTTATAACTGGGTATTTTTAATTTGTGTGACTTAATTCTAACTAATAATCAAAATGGGTTTAGATTCAATATAATATAAATGAGTGTATTTTCAACTCGGATTGTCGCGTTTTAGGGTTAATAAATCTTCACTTGTAACAGTTTTGATGTTCTTACTTCACATCGTTGAAATTGCAGTGATTTCTCGCTCTCCTCTTGAAGTATAAGTAATAAGCGACACGGATATAACAATAACAAACTATGAAGCTGGGTGACACGAGATCGAAGAATTCGCCAGAAAGCATTAACCCCCCGCCATGATTATAGATACACGTTTCTGACGAGTATCGATTAGCACAAAACCTAGGTTAAGTAAGGTTTCCTATCGACTGAACATCATTAAAGCACACAACCAGCTTTAAAGGAAGCAGTTGTCCCTCAGTACCTCGTCACAACCTTCCCAGTCACTAATCACTAAGAGGTATCATCTGAAGAACATGTTCCCTAACAATTTTCATAGCTAAGCACTGAGAATAGTCTTTCAAAACGGTGAAATATACTTCAAAATTTGAGGATAAAAAGTCAACAGATTTCCATAATTTTAACTAATCTTCATTATGGTAACCTAACTCATTTACCAAGTACACATCTATTGATTAGGTTTTCAGTCACATTATTTATGGGGGCACAAGTGTTACTATTCAACTGCCCAAATAAACGTAAGCAAAGTAGGGTTCAAAGTCACAAACTAGTAGCGAAGAATAAGTATTTTAACTACTAAGCCATAGTTGGTTAGGATATTTCAACTAACTACTCAGTTTATGATAATGTTGTAAATTCTTTGAACATATCTATAATTAAGTACTCTTGAAGAAAACACCTACTTTAACAACGTTTCACGACCTAAAACAGCTACTTCATTTTTTAATTAGCATATTCATACAAGAAGAATCTAACGTCGGTACATCTTTAGATCAAAACTCCAAACAGTAGATTATTCCTTAAAGTATTAGACGAAGTTTTTAATCTAAAAACATATCCGTGAGAATGGTGAATAAAAGTGAGAAAACTGAACAACATCGACAAACACCTCATGACATAGTCATTCTACCAAATTAATACAAGCTATGACCCCACCACTAGCAATTCATTTTTTTAAAAAAAAAGACTTATTGTACGATATTTACTGGATGATGTTGTCATGGGACCATTTTAGATTGAAGGCATTAAGGGCCAACTTTATACTAAGGAATATGATTATATTTAATGCCCGGAAATATTGAGTATGTACAAATATTCATAACACACTTTTCATTGCTATACAATTCCAGATCAATCGAAACTCACTTGAACAGGAAATTATGAAATGCTTATGTATTGATGAGAATATCGTTAAAAGTTTAGAATGTGAAACTAAAGTCGAGGAAGAAAAAAAGCCTTAAGAAATGTCCGTTGCAATGAATAAACACAATATCTGAAGTATTTTTCTGAAAATCTCGTTTAGAATAGCATTTCTGAGCAGAAATGTTTGTGATACTAGGAAAACGCTAATCATACATATTGATCGAATCTGTATGTTGCCGGTTTACGTGATTATGCTTTACATAACCTGAATTCGACCTGAACTAATAACCCTATTACTTGAAGTATACCTGAAAAGTTAATGTATGTATACATAGAAAATCCAGACTGATTTCATCGATTTATGTTATTAGTGATACAAGGGGTCAGTCAGCTACAACGTAGGACCAGGCATATATATACATCGTTCCAAGTGATCACACCTCGTTAGCACAATAAGATGAACACCGAATTCATAGAAGTAGTTAATTCAATAGTGGTAAAAAAAGATTACATATAAGGATATAGTACAGGAAGAAAGAATTAGTTAGTAGAAAGAAAGATATGAAGCGATTTTAATCTCATAGTTTAAGGGAAGACAGAGAGTGTATACACCTACACCATTGTGATCGATTCTGAACTATGTCACACAGAGTCTCCAACCATTGATTATGATAGTCACGCGGACCCTAACCAAGTAGTCTGCATCTACCAACATGGCTCAGACTAGAAGTTAGTGACTTTAAGCACTGATGCCACATTTTGGTTTGGCCGCCCCTAAATGTCTTCCAACCATCCCCAACACTAGTCAGTATTGCACACCGTGGTAATCGGTGTCCAGATACACGTAACGCGTGGCCCAACCATCTCAGTCGACGAAGACTGACAAACTCATCAACTGATTTACCATCATTCCCTAATACTCTGTATCTGTCTAACCTCACTATTACCTACCCAGTGATCCCAGCAATATTTCTAAGGCACCTGTGGTCAAATACTAGTAGGTTACGAGTATCTTCTCTCAATGGCCACGTTTCGCAGCTGTAAAGTAGAACAGAACGAACTGTCGCGTAGTATATTCGTCCCTTGATTGATAAACAGATATCTCTCCTTTGCCATAGGTGATGTAAGTTAGCAAAAGGCAAACGAGGTTTTCGAATTCATGCTGAGATTTCGTCAGACACCAACCCATTTGGGCTGACCAAACTTCCAAGATAAGTGGAGTTGTCAACGCGTTCGACTACTTCACTCCCTATTATCATAATTTAGGTGTTGACGCAGGTCAGTTCTGAAGCAACAATTTGCATTTAGAGGTAGAAGAAGCGCATCCCAAACATTCTGGCATTGTTGTTCAGTGCTACCAAAACACTCTGCATTTAATCAGCATCTTCACCATACAGGACTATCTCATCTGTGTATTCTAAGTCGATAAAATGGAAGGAAGTACTACTAAGTTGGATTAATATGGAATGTAGTACAGTAGTTAGAAACTAACTCAAAAACAAAGAACATTCATGGACAACTATAGATTTATATATTATTCCTAATATCTAATAGGTTGTACACTATTCTGGACAGAAAACAACTTATCATTTCAAATTCATTGAAGTTGTTATATAGATATATGAAATAGAATCTGTAAACTGTATGATAACCATAACAATTTCAATAAATTATTTCTAACATAATTCATTATCATTCACTATTTATCATAAATTAAGGTCAATAGTAATGCATTAATTATATAATGTAAACTAATATGATTATATATTTACACTCAATGACATGATTAATTTATCCAGTTTATGTCATACTGATTAATTTACAAATATAAATGAATATCATGGTCAAAATAACAAACATATTGTAATTGTATTATGATCCTGGATGAGCTCGAACTTTACCTTCAAATGCTCTCGCATAGCCACGTGCATACAACCACTGACAGGGAAGTCCTACTCATTGCCTTCTTGTGGTGGGCGTGTTGTTTACGGTATTGAAACGACGGAAAGTGAATGTCTGGTGCTTTAACCGGGTTGGTGGATATTGAGGATCCACTGAGGGTAGTTGGAAAACCCTGATTCCAAACCAATGGTGCACATGGGCTTCAGGATCCATTGGGAACAAATGGAGTATGAACCTATTGTTAGTCACCGGCGACCATGGGACTGCATCTCCTAACGTTGCTCCACTACCATGTGGATTAGACCTCTAGGTCAAAAGCTCGGGGAGTGACCTGAGAAAACTAACTGCTTCAGTTTGGGCGTCCGGGCAAAACCCAGCCTTCATACAAATCGAATGATTTATGTGGCGTAGATATCTTTGGTGCCTCATGTATCACTGTTTATGTGTTTAAATGAATAGACGACAAATAAACTAATATTGATGGTTAATGGCGTAATCTTGGAACTAGAAATTCTGCATGCAAAGCATATAGATGATAAGTTGGAAGTTGAACGCCTGTCTAAAATAAACTTGCCGCCATCGCTTTTCATTTATTTAAATACATAAACATTGGTACAAGGAGGCAACAAATATATGTACGCTACATAAATCATTCGATTTGTGTGTGGGCTCAAACTGAAGCACGTGGTTTCTTAGGGGGCCACACCCGAGCCTGACCTAAAGGTCTGACGCACAAGGCAGTGGAGCGACGTCAGGATGTGCAGTTCCATGGTAGCCGGTGACCAACAATAAATTCATACTCCATTTGCTCTGGAATCATGGTTTTCCAACTGCCTAGGTAGACTTTCCGTGTTCACCAACCCGGTTAAATCGCGGACATTCTCTTTCCGTCGTCTCAATTCCATAAACAACACCCCCACCACGAGAAGGCCCTGTCAGTGGTTGTATGCACGTGGCCATGTGAGAGTATTTCAAGAGGGAGAGCTAACTCTCCCACTCTCGGTTGTATCAGGATATGAAGGCTTCGTTATTGGTCGATATTTGTTTATATACATTCAAGACTGGTCCCCACGGTTTCCCACATTGTCTGAAAGTTCCGTGTACATATGAAACTTGTTTCTCCGGTACGTAGAAGAGAATCGGTCTCGTGAATTCAGAAGTATCTCAAATTTCATCATAAAGCATCATAATTCTTCCTTCAACTCCCAGTTCAGTGAATTGATTTGCTTATTCTCGTTAGCGCTTTTTAGCAAGATTGTTTTCTACGCGATGGGGTTGCTGACTACTTGTCCAACCCTACACTTTCACCCGGGCGAGAGATCAGCAGCACCCTAGTACAGTTACAAGCGGAGCTTAAGCGTCACAACAATAAACGCAATAAGATTGATGATTGTGGCAGTGAGAGGGCAGTCAGACGTAAAAAGCATGAATAATACCATTTAAATTAAAGTGAACGATATAAAATTGTAGGGATATTTTACTACGGTGTCGGGTGTCGGGTGTCAGGCAGTTACGCACAGAAAACAATTGCCTCACACCGTAGTAAAATATCATTCACTATAATTTCAGTGGTATTATTCATTCCTTTCAAGTCTCACTACACTCTCACAGCCACAATCATCAATATTATTATTCCGATTGTAGTAATGCAAAACAACATTTGAGTAACTGGTCAATGAATAAATACCGATCACAACTGGTCTGATCAAACCATGTGCAGATGTCATATGCAACTACTGTGATCTCCTCATCCACTTTGTTTCCATTCTCACATTCCATTTATCATACACTCGTGCTTTGCTTCTGTCTACCAGTCGATTCGTCAATGTGCTCGCATATTACTTCGAAGCATCATTTGCATCTTCGTTGCCATTGTTTTTCCAACTTGTCCAACTTGCACAAATTCCACCAATTCACATTTGATTCGTTGTAGTTTGTGAATGAATTGCAATTGAGAGTGAGCATGCATCATGTCAACACACTCATGTGATGATATGTTTTTCACAATGACGATGGTGATGACGATGATGAAGATGATGAATGATGATGTGATCTATGAAGAGTGCTGTGCTCCTCCTTATGCTAACATACTCTCGTGAACAGTTGAGCAAGATTGTCATACAGCAAAATATGCGACAAAAACACACAAGAATCGTGCACTTCCCCATTAATAATTGGGGCGTGTCATGACCATGATCACAAAGCGAAACCGTGACGACGACGACGACGACAACAACAACAACAATGCATGATTGAAGTGGAGTGCAAGTCGGTTTTATTAATAGTGCATAATTGTAGTACACTGACACTGACACTGACACTGACACACATGCAAAATCACTCACATGTACTCAACAGTCAGGGAATATTGACGCATATAAATTGGTGAATGTGTTGCAAGATTGTAGGTAGGTGGTTGATTGCAACGATCACATTAGTGATGTTGAACCGATGGAGATTTCTGGTGGTGACGCTGTTCACCTACTGTCTAACAGTTGAACGTGTGTCAACATGGTTGATACGTAGTGGTGAACCTGTGCAACAACGCACTGAATTCCCGTTCATCGCATTTTTGACCACAGAGAGAACAATGTGTACAGGCTCATTAGTGTCAACAAGGGCAGTGCTCACAGCTGGTCATTGTGTTTGCTCACCGCTGCCAGTCGTTCGGGTAAGAGATCACACTGAAACACATTGTTGCTCAATGTGATCGATTAATTTCACAGTGTGTTTCTATGTGAGTGTGTGTCAGTGTGTCAGTGTGTCAGTGTGTGTGTTTGTGTGTGTGTGCAGGTGTTTTGCATAGATCTAATGTGAACATACGTTGTGTATTTCAGGTTTCATTTCTCACACTGAGATATGGCGACCAACAAGGCATCCATCACCAACCGTCTGGAGTGGCGGTAGCACCAGGATATATGCCGTCTTGTACGTCGGCACGACAGAGGAGACCAATCAAACAGACACTCAGTGGATTCGACATTGCAATTATAACGCTGACTCAAACGGTCGACTTACAGAGTGGAATCAGAGTGCTGAGTCTGCCACAGCCAACGGATATACCGAGACCTGGAACTCCGGTTTTCATTGTTGGTTATGGAAGGGATGATAACGACCGTGATCCACAACGTAAAAATGGTGGAATTTTGAAGAAAGGTGAGTGAGTGAGTGAGTGAGTTGTCGTTAGTGTTGTTGTTATTGCTGTTGTTGTTGTTGTTGTTAGTGGTGGTGGTGGTGGTGGTGGTTGTGGTGGAGTTGGAGAACAAACGACATGACTCTGTCTGTCTGTCTGTCTGTCTGTCCGTCTGTCTGTCTGTCTGTCTGTCAATTTGTCTATCTGTTCCGGTTGTTTTGTTGGTCAGTGTCTCAATAAATGTGCTCCGATGTAGCTGTGACAGTTCAGTAGGAGAGTGACTCCATCTGCATCTCGGTCATTGGGTAAGTGTGATGCGATGGAATGTGATGGGATGGGATGTGTGAGTATTAGTGAGATCATTTGGATGAGAGAAGAATCATGAGATATGTGTGCAAACGATGGATGTGTGCTGTTGTACATGAAGTAGGTGGTCAATCAGTTT